GAGATGCTGATGCTAAATGAGAATAAGGCAGTCTGCAGGTAGATAAACTAGATGGACAGTGAAATGGGAACGAGATTTGGAAAAATATTTAATTCTCTGTATTTTGTAACTGAGATGCAGTTTTTTGAAAAATCTGTGATTCAAAAAACATTAAGAAGAATATTTTACCTGGATCATTTCCTTTAAGAGTATTTACAAGTGCCCAACGGAGTGAAGCCGCAGGGACAGCACCTAAAAGATGAATACAACAATAACAAAGGCACGGCTTCATGATCCTTCTCGGGTACATATCGATATAGCTCCTCCCTTCACACAGGGACATTTGACTGATCCTGGAGCACCTATCACCACTGCTGTACAAGTAATAACAGTGTGCTGTGAAGAAATAATTCCTTTCTGATGGGGTGCTGATATGCCCACTAGATGGTACTAAGCATTGACTCCGAAATTGCTGATCAAACTTCCTGCTGTCAATAATATTTTCAGGCTCTGGGGGTTGTTAGAAAACCTCTTGGCTTTTCCATTTTTTTGATCCATACCCAGCTTTATAAATAGGTGGGGTTTGTCCCATTCAGTGTCATCGTTAGTTAGTTCAGCATGGGAAATGGTGTGATGCAGATTAAAATAACGAGCCTGGAGGCAGAGAGAACTTGTGTGAGTCTCAACTGCTGCCGCCTTTGCTTTAGACAACACATTCAACCCCCGTACAGAGAATGACCCAGTTCCTAAGGGCTTTTTTTTGTGTTGGATCTTTATCAGACTTGGCTTTTATAGTTCCTGGAGGCTTTGGGGCACATAGAGGGCACACATCAATGATTTCTTCCCTGATAAATAGAGAGCAGTTCATTGTGCGAGGCAAAACATGTCCTCAGAGGGAACGGGATATTGGAAACATCATCAGTAGCTAGCAAACTGTTTGCCTTGCTCAGATTTCTCCCCAGGCCTGGCATTATACTTGTGCTGGGCTCTCCCCTGCAGACACACCAGAGCAGTCCCACAGGGCAGCAGAGCCATCAGGCCACTGATGGCAGGTTGCACGCTGTCGCCTCTTCCCAGGCAGAAGAGCAGATGCCAGGCAGAGGCTGCGACTTGGCTGAGAACACGCACTGGAGCTGGTCAGTGGGTGCTGAGCTTGGCTCATCTGAAAGGGATCAGGCAGGAGTTTGCTAACAGAGGGGGGGTTAAAGCATGTCCTGGCTCTCCCCTGCTTTAGGGCAGGAGGGTGTCCTGCAGGCACCAGGAGGACCGCACTTTCCCCAGCATGGCTGCAGTGCCCAGCACCAGCAGTGAAGGGGTGAGTGCCACTGGAGGCATTCCCCTCCCGGAGGCGAATTAAGCCAAAACGTTCATTAATGACACAAAACCATGCCAAGTCAAACAGTTCATTTCAAACCTGCATTTTTGCTGCTTCATGGCTTCCTTCATAGCCTGGTACTTAACTGCTGTGGAGTCCAGCGACATTGTGGAGTCCTTAAGCTGTGCCCTTCCACTATGGCGATAACGTGCATTTCTATAGCAACAAAAATAGGGGGGTTTGCTTATGAACAGTGTTTTGTACAGCTAAGAATTTCCACAAAATTCTTAAAAAAAAGACACAAATGCTAGTTTGGATATTAAGATTAATATATTTAATCTTTCTTGTTTGTAAAACAAGACATAAATTTGTGTATATATATAATTTATATATTTTTTATTTATATATACTATATACAGACAATAAAAAAATTTTCCTCTGTATTAGACTGAGAGATTTATGGAGGAATGATATAGACATAACGGGGAGCTCAAAGAAACTCAGAGTTTCACAATAGATAATTCACGGGTAAAAGAAAAACACGGCTCCCTGTTGGCCTTCAGCATTATAACAGGCTTTGCCCACCACAGACTCAAATCTGAATTGGCTCTTCCACTGTATATTTGCTACATGGTTCTTGAAAGCAGGAGGCTGTCCCCACAGCAGGATCCTCTCTGCCTTGCTGACAGCAATGGCCAAAGTCCGGGACAGCCATGGGCCAGGGGAGGTTATTGCACTCGGTAGAGGATGCGCATGTTAAAAGCACATTGTGCATTTCCATAACTTCTATGGAAGAACGAGAGATTTTGAATGTGCATATTTATAAAAAATAATAGAGATGGGAAGCGATTGATCATACGGAGATCCCTGATCATCCCCAAGTGCTGGGGCAAGCTGGCTGGGTTTGACAACCGGTCTCACTCCTGGTGCCATGAGGCCGATGCTACGATCTCCCTTTCCAGCCGGAGGTGGGTGCAACGGGGAGAGGCGCAGGGATCCCGGCAGGACCCGCTCTCCCTGTGCACGCGTGAAGTGCAGTGGGTGGCAGGGTAAGGGCAATGCAATGTGTAACCTTGCATTTTTCTCCTCGCTCTGTTTTGGAGGGTGGGTGACTGCAGTGAAGCACCAATTAAGGCGGTCTGATTGATTAGGTCTAGAAACTAGACTGGGAGGCGGAGGGGAACCTCGGGGTGAGAAGGGAAGCAATTAGGAATCATTTTACCATTCACATGGAAGTGAAAAAAAAAAACAATCCAAAAACCCCAACTCCAAATAAATAACCATTACACAGTACTAAATAATGCTTCTTATGGCAGTCAGTCTGGTGGAAGCAGGAAAAGGACCCCAATGCCCTGGCAAGGAGGGCAACTCCTTTGGCTGATGGCAGTAGCACTGCCTGGCTCAGGAGCAAGCCATAGCTCACAGACAAAGCTGATCTGGGGTTCCTCTCTAATGGGCATGGTGAAAGGAAATAGGAGAGGGTTTGGGCTGAGCCTTGGAGGCATGGACCTGACCTCTGGAGAATGGTGTGAAAGAGGTTTCCTCTCAGCTGCTAGCCCAGCTTCTGGCTTGCAATGGTCAAAGATCAATCTGGGTTCCTTGCAGGCTCTCTAGCATGGACACAGCCATCCAGCAGAGGAAGGGGAACACAGAATCATAGAATCAAAGAATCACTTAGGTTGGAAAAGACCTTTAAGATCAT